CTAAGATCCACTCCGATCCTTCAACGAACCCACAGCCGGGCTTTTTTCGATCTGTTTAATGCTCTAGTGCGGAGAACCGTACCTGCCAAGTGAGGGGCAGAGCACGGGGCGTTGCATTCTTCTGGACCGGGTGCTGCGTTCTCTGTGATTGGCAACGGACCGGGTGCTTCATCCTTGTGAGGAGCACTGGACTGTGTGATTCCTTCTCTGTTATGAGCACAGGACCGAGTAATGCGTTCTCTTGTGAAGTCGGGCTATGAATTCAGCGAAGTCAATTCCTATGGAATCGTTCATTTTTATGCAACAACAGAGCATTAGACGACACCATATGTCTCTGATATGCTTTTTAGACAACACACTAATAGAATGAACACAATAAACTGGCCCAAGGTCAGGCATGAAGGCCAGACCAAGGTAGACACCAACGTGTTGCACGGTTATATAGCTTGCTGTATTGGGCAATTTCTGGTGCAAATTTCGAATTTATTCATAACAGGAGCCGTATTATACATCTTAGATGGACTTATAAAAGGTCAGAGTAAGTCACTGACCTAAAATGACTCAGGTCAGTATTTTGTTTTGAGGAGCACGCTGCCTGGCGTAATCCTTATCGCTTATTCAAATTGCAAAACTCAAAGCAGTCTGGTATAATTTTGGTTACCATGACCTTCAAAAGGTTAAACAAGGTCATTGAACTCGAATGAGCGTGTGGCCTTTTGCTTATAAGGCGTATTTAGGCTCTAGGGGCACAAGGGAGGCCAGCCTGGGGTTTGGCCGTGTTTGACCTCATTGACCCGAAGGTCATGACCTAGGAGCATCAACATCTGACGCAAATGAACTCACGTACACGCCAAAACACCGTGCGAATTTTTTGTCTCCAGCATTCTTAGTTCCCGAGATCTCAGAGGGTCAAATGGACCCCACCCGGGCGAAGGGTATCTAACCGGCCAACCGGGCGCGCCTTAAAATGCGTCATTACGGCATAACTCATAACCAATCATCAAGGTTAGTGTTGCGAAGTGTGTAAGGCGGAAGGATTGTGAGGAATTTGTACGTGTACGTTAATTTGAATGTGACGTCGGTCGGTAAATAGTGTAAAAAGTGTGCATGGAAGCTGGCTACATAACTTGTTGGAAACATACGGATAAGGCGTACCCAGTTTTACCTAGGCGCCTGTGCAACAATATGTTTTGTGTGTATGGATGTGAAGTGGCATGCATGTGATTAAACACATCTAAATTCTGAGCTTTTTCTCTGCATGTGCAGTGTGTGTGCTTCAGATTTGCTTGAATTGCAATAAACTGAATATCGTGTGAAAATATTCAGTTCACTGCAATTAGCACGGTTAAATTCCAACAACAGGCCTAAGTATGGGTACAACAGCATTGTGAAATGTATTTTATGTTTGAAAGGCACTGCAACAGCCATGCATGAACACCTTTCAAAAAATGAGTTGTGAAACATCACCATTACATGCAGTAAATAACGGAGCCATATTCCGCAAATAATTTCATCCACAGTCCACAACACCAAACAGCAAGTATCCCCCAGTGCCTTCCACGACCACCGTGCAGCATCTGCCAAGTAACCAGCTGTCTTCGATGCCACGGGCCAGCGATCGGAGTTTGAATACTTTAACACGCCTGCTGCCGGGCTTCTGCTGACGCGGCAACGTTTGCGTGCATAAACAGGACTCCGTCCATGCCCATGCACAGTGGTTTAACAGAGCGGCACTGAACCCCATGACGTCACTCGTCGACGAAGGCGGGCGAATTTGGCTACAGCAGTCCTCTATCGGGAATATTCGAACCAAGAGGCTAAGGGTTGCCAGGAAGTGGGACAGCATCCCAACCTTTGGATCTCCCGTAAGCTAAGCGTTGAGCTTTTAGTCCCTGCGGCTTTGACGCTGGACGCTTGGATCCCCTGATTCTGCTCTGTCCAGAGATGTTGGACAATTTCCTGGTGTCATGAACGCTGAATGGTGCGATTCTGAACGTTTTGATATTTGGACGTCATGCGCTCGGGACGTTTCAATAAGCATCTGCACCTATTAAGTTATTACCCGCGGGCCTCACGACAATTTTTCTTGCAAACTGATGGATAATATTGTCAACAGCTCATTGAAATTGTTCTGATTGTCGGAAGCAGAAGCGAAGACGGGATTCAGGAAAAAATGTTAGGGCGGGGGGGGGGGGGGGGAGATCGGCAATGGGGGAGGGGAGGGTTTAAGCTTTAGAAAAGGACCATATGGGGACATTTCGACAACAAAGGCTGGCCGGCCAATCTAGCACGGATGCCTGCCTGTGGATGCTGGAAGTGTCTGGAGACGGATAAATCCTGCCCCAACTATCCTGCTTCTAATGGTGCCGCTGCCCCTGCAACCAAGTAACCCAGGAGATACCCCCGGATCACTGGCGCGAAAAATAGGGGAGCCAGAACGAACTGAGCCCCTCCCCAACCTTCTGAAGATGTATCGATGGCCCTATAGTCTCTGATCGGAAAGAAAACCCCAACAAGGTTGCCGTCGCTCACGCCTCTCAGTTGGGGAATACTTACATCGGTGTCACCAACCCTAAACATTGTTTTCACTGGACTAAGGTTAATTTTCCTCACCCGGTAGCTTGCGGTGTCCCAAGGAAGCACAATTTCTGCCCTCAAATTTTTCAGATATTACCCCATGTTTGAAGTGAGCTCCAATGAGCTCACTCAAACATTCGTGTTAAACTGATTTTTTTCTTCTCGGGGCACCAGATTTCACATTCGCTCATTACAGTAACACGGCACTGGTGAACAGCGCGATTGTGGTACTTGCTAGCAGCCTATCATCTTCCACGCATTTTATCATACGTGCCGCGTCATCGCTTTGCCAATGTATCAGCCGCCATGCTGTTTTGACCATGAGCAGAAAACAGCATGTAGTATGACTGCGATCGCATGCCGTTTCTATGACGTCGTTAATGCCAAGGCGACTTTGAAATAGACTTCCAACAAACGTTTTCGCGCTTTTGCGTCCATGCAACTCAGGAACCAGAGCATTTCTGTTCTCCAAAAGGACATGACCGTGAACTGCACCAAAAGGTTCTTTAAGATGGTTATTTCATTTCAAAACGCCATACAAATGTGCAACATTCCCTTCAGCTCGTCAGGGTTCCTCTTTTATGAAAATGAGAGATTTCGGGACGTAGGAAAATTTCCGGGTGCTCGGCCCGCTTCCTGGCTGCACCCCTGAAAGCTGTTCTGTTGCCAGCCGACTCTGAACTGATGAGTATTTCGCCCACTGCCGTGCCGGCCATTGTGCACATAAGCAGGAAGGAGCGCGGCACCGCTCGTGTGTGGCGTGGGCCCAGTTGTAACAGACACCACAAGGCGCATGGTTCTGAAACTTGTCGCCGGCCGTCACCCGGGCTATAGGCTCCGACATTACTGGAGACGCGGCCGTCTGCCTGGGGATGGAAACAAGCCGAACCAAACATCCTGGGTGCCGCAGCCGAGTTATGCGCATGCGCAAGGAAGCGAACATCCCATTCCAGGGCGGGCATGGCGTGGGTCGTGATGAACCGTGATCTGTGTGACGCGTAACGTGGCGAGGAGTTTTGCAAAAAGCTTTATTGCTATTGCTGCATGACGTTCGTTCTAACAATCTGAAATGGCCTGCCCATTTGTCTGGGGCGTGCTGAGCTCCCACATGTTACCTATTTAGTTTGAGCCATATGACACGGCATTACTGACGCGGCATTGTTAAAAATGATCGACTCACGATTCGGCTCACGAAATATACGAAGAATGTGATAAATCTCATGACTCAAAGCAGTGTATTTCCGAACGATCAGCTCGGCTCGCGGCTCACCCAAAAAGGCTGGCTTTTGAGCCGATTCACGATTCAGCTCGAGCCCAGCACAAGTCCGGTAGATGATGATAGTAACTGAAAAGGCTCTCTTCACCGTGGTGGTCGAAATGTGGGCTTCGCCGCCACGTCAAAACATCCTGGCACAAGCTGATATTGCTTCACACGCGCTCGAGTGGGGGATCAAATTGCCCCCCCCCCCCGAAGGTTTTTCCAAAATGGTTTCCAAACGGTGCGGCATAGCTACGCCCAATTTTGCATAGCTTTAGACCACTAAATAGAGGATTATTTGGCGTCACAAATTTAGATGTACCTTGTAAGATCGCTGGCCTATGGCAGGTCAGTCAGCCCATGGTATCAGCGAAGGCAAGTTCTAGGGAATCCTTCAGTCTGAACCAATAACGGAGTGTTGGGCGAAGCCATACACCTCTAAGATGCTTTCTTAGGCCACACAGCAGTTGAATGAGCAAATATATGAACCTAAGGTCAGGCATGAAGGTCGCGCATGGTCAAAACCAACCTGATTTGTTGCTGTAGGGCTTGCTGTACGAGATAGTTTCTGGTACCTGTTTCGAATTTATTGGTGGCAGGAACCGCATTATACATATTGTATGGACTTCTTACAGGTCAGAATAGATCATTGACCTAAAATGACCGCGTCAACATTTTGTTTTAGGAACGTACTGCCTAGCGTAATATATGTCGCCTAGTGAAATGCAAAACAAAAAGCAATTTTGTATGATTTGGTCACCTTGACCTTAAAAAGGTAGAACAAGGCCACCGACCTTGAATGGGAATGTGACCTTTTGCTTAGAAGCGGTTATCTAGGTTCTGGGAACACTTTGAAGACCAACCCGGAACTTGACCTTGTTTGACCTTTTTGGACCCAAAAGCCATGACCTAGGAACCTGGAACTTTGACCTAAGTGAGTTGACGTACAGGCCAACATACCCTGTGAACTATGGTGTCTGTAGCTTTTTTAGTTCCCGAGATATCACCAAGGGGGTCAAATTGCCCCCGCCCCCTCCCCCACCCAAGCGAAGGGTATCTGTCTGGCCACCCGGGCGCGTGATAAGAGGTGTCAGGATATGTCATGCTTCTCTCCTCCCTAAGATACGTATTTTCAAGCAATGTGTCATTGATACCTGTATTTCAGGAACGCTGCTGGGTAAACACAGCCGTTTCCACAGCAACTGCCGACAAGGACACAAACCAGACGCTCCAAGTACTCAGCGCTGACCAGAGCGATGTGTTTGCTGCCCTAGCGGCGGCCGTGGGGCGGAGCGCCTCGGGCGGCAGTGTAAGGTGTCAAGAGGTGCACACAGGTGCACACACCTGTGTGCTAACCAGTGAATGCTTGCGCAGTTTGGCGAGTGCCACCTAGGTGCTCGCATTTTCCTCTTGTCCCAGGCAAGGAACACGGCCGCGGGGACCGTTAGGAGTGCCTGTGACGGGTGTCAAATACAGACGTGACTTTGGCCGCATCGGGTGTACCAGTGAGCCGGAGGCGGGACCCCGGAACAGCAGAACTTCGGCGATAGCGGTGCATCTCATACTTAACACCAATTCGGCCTCACGCCTCTCGTCGAGCTACGTACACTCGCCCCGGCTGCGTGCTACCACGATGGAGCTCAGCCGCTCACAGCGGGACCTCTGGTGACTACCTCCGCCCAAGCGCCATCAATCTGTTCTAGTCCGTCCAGCCCGCAGGTGTTTCATCATCCATCATCGCGTTGTCAGCAATTGCGCCTTAGCCGCGGTTTGGAAGACGGCGTCTACCAGTGCTCGCTCCACTATAGCCATATCGCCACAGGTCGAGTCCACTGCGCGTGGAACGGTCCTGATTACGACCACATCCAACAGAGAATAAACCCTTCCCCGGCGTCTCAGTAAACCCACACCGAAAACTCCGACCAAGACCTGGCATCATTACCTGGCAAGACCTGGGAACATGGCATCATCCAGCACCCATATCCCAGTTTCCTGATTCAGTGACGCGGGCCAAACGGTGACCGCGTCCTTCGCTGACCTCAAGTCTTTCGCGGCGTCGCAAACTCCGGCATGGACAGACGCACAGGTCTTATCACTTCTTCCTCTGTGTTTGGATGGCGCTGCCAAGAGCCCATTGTCAGAGGAACAGCAGGAAACTCGAATCCGTTGAAACGGCCCTCGGGGACTTCTTGTCTGCTTCGTGTCTCTCACTCCGGTCTCTCAGCATGTCCAACCGTCCCAAATGAGATTCGACCCAGCCGTCATCACTTCCGATGTGTTATTGGCCAGTGTCTCACATAACGTACAAAAGGCGTTCCCGGGACAGGAGGATGCCAGCAAAGACCTGCTGCTCAGCTAACTGCTCCAGGCCCCTCCAGCTCGATGCTGTCACGCACCTCGTTGCAGCGGGAAGTCGCCGATTATGACACGGTAGTAACTAAGCTGCTACACCTGGTGGCTGCTGAAACTCTGCTCCACAGCCAGTTGCTGCAGTCAGCAACAGTTGACGAGGGACCGCCTCTGACGATATCCTGCAAAAACTGGGGGGGGGGGGAGGGGCAAAGTCCAGCATAAAATATGCTAGCAGCGGCGCACATTTCACGACTAGCCGTGTGGTTCCGATGTTAAAATGCCCTTCTTCAGGTTCACGGCTTTGTAAATCTTTAACATACAGATGCATAAAAAGTGCATAGAAATGAAGCTTGAACAATTCTTTTTTATTTCCGGGATCAAGTGTGCGCCGTGGCACTCATTTTCAAACTATCAGGCGAAGCGTAGATCCATGTACGTGCCACGATGTCCAGGCGTGGGATTGAATCCCCCCTACCGCCAACTCATTTCAGCAGGGTAGAGATGGAACACAGAGTGAATACAGTCACTGGCTGACGATAAAACTATTGAGTGTAACAATATTTCGATTTGCTATACAAATCTGTATATATACAGATATATATATATATATATATATATATATATATATATATATATATATAATGTATATGCATATTATGTATAGCCTGACGATGCAGCTGCTGTGCTGTGAAACATGGAAGTTATCACAAGAAATACGCATGAGATCTTTTTATATCTGTAAAATATACCTGACAGGTGTAAAGCAGCCGTCGGGCTACACGCACCAGTCCCTGGCTGGGGTGCATAGCATTACTGTGTCTGACGCATGGAACCTTTTGCGACGGTAGCGGTCCAAAGCTGGTCGTCCCCATTGCGGCCAGAGTTAAGACCAGGCACTGTGTTAGGTTCCTAAGTTGTGATGCTGACGGCCACTGCTGTGCGGGGCCGGCAACGCTGCCGCAGGACCAGTGCAGCAACCATGGTGTAGTAACATTGCAAGCACCTCCGATTGGGAAGCAGTTCTGCTTAATAGCCGGATGGTAAGCATTATAATAAGTGCCATAACGGCGAGCTGTACTACACAGGGGCCCTGACATGACAAAATTTATAACACGTATTTGATTGATCTTGAGGAGCTTAAACACCTCACAGACCTACGGCCTACGTAACCATGTTCCCTAAAACCATTTGTAGGAAGGTTTTTTGGCGTAAGATGAATACATGCATTTTATCACCGGCTACACTGAATAACTGAACCTGGAAAGCTTGCCTTCACATTACAAAACCTGAAAAAATATATATTTGGAACTTTAATATGACATAATTTTTATATTCCTGATCAAGGCTCGTAATTTGTAACTTTAACTTCCCTCCATTGATCTCAGGGAAGGAAAAGTACACCTAAGCAGCTGTAGTGAAACGGGCAGCTTAGATAGATCCAGAAGACACATCAGTATCTGAACCCAATGCAGCATTGGCTCAAGGCACACACAAGGCACAATGCAAATTTTCGATGAGCCTTAGACTGCCCCAAACCATGCGCCTATTATGCACATTTTTGTATAAATGCAATATGTTGTATTGATATATTTCTGCACCACCTAGTACGCAACATTTGCTCATATTGCTACAAGGAAATTGTGCTGATATGGATTATGGAATGATGTTGTGTAACAGCTACAATGATGAGGATAGGGTTACCGCTGGCGTTCAGAATATGACGATATTTAACATAAAACATCATTTTCTATAGATGTCACAAATCTGAAATATTCCCTGCACAAGCAGCCATTCTATGTCGAAACTGATTTGATGGCTCTGTATCCTACGTAGCATTATTTCAGCATGAGACTTAGCGTAAATTATAAAGATGATTTATGTTGCTCACAACTATTCATTTCACGTACAACATAAACCATTGCATCCATTAAATACATTAACTACACCATTTGCCTCTTACGTTGGATACATTTACTAAGCCCAGCTTAATGTTCAATGCCAAGTTAATGCCGCATGCAGTTGCATGGAGCGATTGCCTTTCTGTGATAGTGGCCTTCTCCAACAATGTTGAAGTGCATTAGCAAATGTTGGCTCGCCCGCTTCATATTGTTGCTAGAATATTACAAAAAACTAAGGTAAGAGTGACTCACACCACGATCGCCTGTTTTTGGGCATCATTTGATGACATTGGTTGGTGATTTGAAGGAAAGACACAAAACGGCAACTTTTAATGGCATTTAATGAAAACAATGTGTCTGGACACAATGAGAAACACACATTAGGCGGAGGTGAGGTAGGGTCGCCGTCAGCACAGCCCACCAATAAACACACATTGATTCTTTCATGATCTGGAAAAAACATAACTAACACTTTCACATAAGCTGAATTATGCCAGAAAATCCAGCCAATTTGTGACATCAGATGACCTACTCAGTGCAGTGCAGTGCATGCTGACCACTCCTTCCGTTAAATGTCATGTCAGGTATGTGCACAACATTGCATCATACCAAACATTTAAATTACATTAGTGCCTTTCATGTCTCCTGTTGCATATTGAAGTGCCAATCAAACAAAAATCTCAATATTCATATATTGAAAAGTAACCAGACCCTTAGCTCCAACATAAATGTACCTGAGCACACCCTGATCAATTACTTCGCATGCAGCACTCCACAAGCATCCAACAGCCGGCAGCCTAGACCACAAGATTCATAACTGGCAAGCTGTGCAGTAGCTGAAAACATTACATAATCAGTTTTCAAGCAGTGTCTTGCGACTGACAAGCGTGATTCTACACTTCATCGCCACAAACAAACCAAAGATGCCGCTAGGGCAACACCGCCAGCTTTTGGTACAGCATACTAAATCAGGTCTTAATCCCGATTCTGGTATTCTTGTAGCACGTGGCGATACCTGCTAGTCAAAACTTTTGAGTACACGGTGTTGCATTCCCTGTGCAACAACCTCTCACCGATATCTCTCAGCTGGAGATGCAGCAAAAGGAGTCGCGCCGTCCCCGGGGCAACGGCCGCCGGTACTCTTCCCACGCGGACAGCCGGCGCTTTTCCGCGTGTAATGCGATGAATGTCAGTCAGACTTCTAGGATTCGCGACAGTAACACTTGCACTGCCCGAGTTCTGTGGTCATGAAACACTGCCACAGCAACCACACCGAAAACACCAAGTGCATTCTGGGTGGGGATGTCCCCAACGGTGCCGCTGTCTGACTGATGTCGCGTTCCGCCGCCTCGTGCTTCCGTCGCCTGCCTTGTCGGCGCCGGCCCATCAGCTGACTTAGATCCAGTGACAACAATCCCGGTCAGGCCGGGACCCTTCGTGGGTCAGGTACGGCAGGTCACGAGTGAGCAAACCGAATCGACCCGTCCAGACAAATGGATGCATCAGATCTATGTAACGTTTGACATCCAAGAGATCCATTTCACGTTACACAGAGTTCGGCATGGCTCGTGGCGATGCTGACATGTCCCATATGCCACCGTCTACCCGAGAGGTCGCCTGCCAGACGGTCCTGTCATTTCGAGAGACTTTTTATCGTGGCTGCGAAACGCCGTTAATACGATTCATACCGCCGCGGCCGCCGCCGTCACAAGAAACGCGCACGCCCCGCCCCCTTCCAGATGACGGGTCACTCGTCGGCGCGGGGCCAGCCGCCGCCGCCCCGGCCCCAATCAGAGAGCGGGCAGTCGGCCGCCCGGATCCCCGGCAAGGACAGCCCGGGCAGCGTCTGGGACAGCCGCGCAGGACCGCTCTCCAAACAACATGGCGGACACCGTCCAAGGGGACAGTTCGCCAAACGCGACATCATGGCCAAATGCCTTTTTGCGGGAGAGAAATCAAAGATTCGGCAATTTCTACCGACATTTAGTGGGTCAAAGACAAGGAAAAACCGTCCGACCATGCAGCGGATCCCCTCGAGAAAACTTTTTTGGAGCCAATATGGTCATCTCAAGCAGTCAGATGGCCTACTTTGTCGCACTGTGAGGACAGGGGTGGGAAATGCTGAGGATTTCCAAATCGTCCTGCCCAACCAGCTGGTGAAAGGAGTCCTGGAATCCATGCATGCAGGGCCGACGGGCGAGCACCTCAACGTCCGGAAACTCACAAAAACCATTCAA